GTGCTCCACACAGAGATCTGATCTGATCATCATCCAGTCTGTCTGGAATGACATGAAGAAACAGAACAAACTGAGACAGACTCAATCCAGAAGAACTGTGTCTCCGAGACGCTTCAAGAAACCTCCTGCAAAGCTACAATGCTGTTAAAAGATTTGAGGCACTTGTGTAAAAATGCTGTAAAATGAGGATGCTGTCAAAAATAATGTCATAAATAGATTTTCTTTATCAGTTAACTTCTATTAACTAAATGAAGTCAACATTTGGTGTGAGCATCCTTTGTGTTTAAAGCAGCTTTTGTCCTCGGTGCACTTGAGCGGAGTTTCTCAGGAGCTTTGCAGGAGGTTTCTTAAACCATCTCGGAGATGACTAACTGACTTAAAACCATTTTTAGCTGCTGAAAATACTAGAGTTCTAATTGTTTTGGCCACCGCTGTATATATCAGCATCAAGGGCTATCTTTGAGGCAAACTGAAGTAAACAATGTTAAGTTGTGGTCACATCAACACGATTTCGCAGGTCCATTGTCTGTCGTCAATCGAACAGTGACATATGAAGCACAGCTCAAAGCTTTCTGTTGGTCAGTGCGCCGAATCCATGACCAAACTGAACCCGTCACAAAATCAGCACGGGAAAACCTTTTGCTTTCATGTGAAATTCAGTATTGTGTGGATTCCCACTGAAAGGTTTTCACAAACACTGGTAAAAGCAACCACACATGAATTAAAAATGAAAATTACAATAAATAAACAATAAATAAAGAATAAATAACTCAATAGAGAAAATTTCATACAGTTGTATACAAGTTGGCTCTTTGACGGATTGCTTTGTTCCTATATGTGTGTGTGTGTGTGTGTGTGTGTGAGAATGTGTGAGAGTGTGTCTCTGTGTGTGTGTGTGTGTGTGTGAGAATGTGTGAGAGTGTGTCTGTGTGTGTGTGTGTGTGTATACCTAGTTAACCATATTTTAGAGACAAAAACTCTTAATACCTCCTTTTGGAAAAGCCCTCATTTAAAAAAAAAAGGAAGAAAAAATGATTACTGAGCTGAATATTTAGCTGATTTCATTCATATGCATAGGTCATTTTTAACTATATGAACACAATAGAGACCATAAATGTACCTAATCAATTATTCATAAACCACTGCTAACTGACAACATCTGATTGGTGACGCTGTCGTCACACGATCACTGTGTGTGTGTGTGTGTGTGTGTGTATATGTGTGTGTATGTGTGTGTGTTACCGTTGTGGCTGGACTCTAGTGTGATGGGTCTGTACTCCTCAAAATCAGCTTTGGAGTCCTCGCTCTCGTTACTGTCCACCTCCAGGAGTTTGGCTCTCATCGACAGACTGACACACACAAACACACACACATCAGATTTAATCATTTCATACACACATTCTGATATAACACACACAAACACACATGTACCTGTTCTCCTGCGTGCTCAGACGGAGGATCTTTGGACTCTTGGGGCTTTTGGGGCTCAGATGAGGAGCGAATCTCCTCTCGCCGTTGGTCTGCTTGAGAGGAAGAGACTCCAGCGGCCAAACAGAGCTCCACTTACTCTCACTGGGACTCACTGAGACACACAGCAGAGAGAGACAACAAACATCTGAGATCTGATGCTGACAGACACACTTTCATCATGATGCACAGGGTCTTCTGGAATCCACATCAGTATATATATATTGTATATATGGGTCAAAGATGAAAAAGGGTTTAAGCATAAAAACAATAAGTGTAATACTGCTTTAAATTGTTATTTTTTTGTTTATGTAGTTGTAGTTACTTTAGTACTTACGTTAAACTGAATGAAAATTATTTTTTAATGTCAGTTAACATTTATTTTAAGCAATTTTTTTAGCTAAACTAAACTAGGTTATTAACAATAATATATAAATATATATATATATATTTCTACCAAATATTACTTTGTTTGTCCGTTTGCATCTTCCTCTTAATTTTGAATTTGTTTAATGCCTTTCACTTGTATTTGAGAATCTCCAGATCTTGTTCGATGTGATGTAGTGTTCTGTAAGGTATGGAAGAATAAGTGAAGGAATGAGATGTCCGGGCAAACTCACGCTGTATCGCTCGGAAGCGCGGACCGATGGACGGAGAGCCCAGATCCGGAGAGTTACGCCTCTTCTCCAAACACGGAGACGCCTGGACCGTGATCTTATGGATAAAATCTGTACAGCAGAAAACAAGCGGTATTTATATTCAGATCACGACAAACACAACAACTGCAACACACTACAGACAAAACCACTGAGATTCTGCTCTATGTTGCTTCCACGACATGCCTTCTTTCAGACTAGTGGAAAGAAAACATACGAAACACACATTGAAGTGTTTATTGTATTGCACTGTCTATTCGTGTCTGTAGATTTCAATTACAATACAGATCTTTAAAGAGTTTTTCCTCCACTTCAGCAGCCCTTACACACATCAAAACTTAGAGTTTTATACCTCTCTACATTCTGAAGGTTTTTACTGTGGGCTTTGTTCATATTTCATTCACATGAGTTTTTATTACATTTTAGTCCTAAAAACGTGGTAAAAATGCACTTATTTCGATCTGTTAACAGTATTTTCTGATTTATGGATCGATAAAAAGAGAAATCCAGAATCCCTTCAGTAAAAACCTTTAACTCTAATATGTCAACAAAATCAAACAAGAATAATGAACCTGACTTTAGATTTCTGTTCTGGACATTTCTGCAAATGAGTGCATGTTTAATGATATAATGCCTCACATTTAAACATAAGATTTCAGAAATATAAAACTATTGTCTTATTGTACTGTGTTTAATTATCAGTGTAAGTATGTTGATATCTGTGAGTTCATTTTTAACCCGGTTCACCTTTGGCGTCTCATTTTAACAGCGAAACCACTGTTGAGTACAACACGGTTAATTATTACTAACGATGTGAAGAAGTGTGTGTTTTCTGTGTTCTGTTACATGTTCCCTTATCATTTCCATTCTAGTGTCACAACAGCTCATTACTGTGCATCTGCAGCTCATTAATAAAGAGAGTGTAATAATTATCATCATCTTTATATGACGTTAAGGCTCACCCTGCGGCATGCTGATCTTCTCTCCGTTCTTCACCTTCAGCTTGTGCTTCTTGAAGGTTCCCTTGCGCTTCTTGACGTTGGGTTTCTGGTTGTGGTTGAGGTGCAGGATGAGCAGCGATAGCTCGCGCTCAAACACGTCTTGCTCCCACTGCGCTAACTGCTGCTCGCGCTGACGCAGGAACTCCTCGTGAGACTTCTGCTCCAGCGCTGCGCGCTTCAGCTCCTCCTCGCGACACCGCAGCTCCTGCACACAGTTCACACCAGATCAGCGCTTAACTAAAACCAAAGCCATATCCATTACTCCAAATAAAATAAACATTAACCAGAATACTATATAAAATGTTCATTTTTCATTATGTTGAAGTACTAAACTAAATAAAATAAAACTTAACACTTACAAAAATGCCAAGTATTTTAATTTAAAGTTTTTAATTTACAGAAAATAGGAGTGTTAATATATTAAAGTAACTATATTAAAACTAAATATTTTTCTTAAATGTTGTAGAAGTTCAGAAGATTTAAGAACTAAATGTTCCTTAAGATTCAGTAATTTATATTATGGGATACGTTTTTTTTTTACTTTCTACTCGCAAATGGCAATTTCTACTCAAAAAAACATTTTAGCACTTGACACAACTAAACAAAATGTATATTCATTATAGAAATGTCCATTAATGTTTTACATTTTTTATTTTCGTTTACTTTAAGTTGAAGTACCAAATCAACTAAAACTAAAAGTAAAACTATAAACTGAAACTTAAAAAACTCTACTGGCATTTAAAAATTTATCTAAAAATGACAAAAACAAAAAATATATTTAAAGTTTTAAATAAAAATAAAAAAATAGAAAATAGAAAAGTAAAATTTTATTCAGTACATTTGCATTTATGGGATAAGGTATTAAAATTATTCTTAACTCACAAATTTCAATTTCTACTCAATTAAGTACTTTTGAGCTTGACATTACTAGAAAAATAGATATTAGAACTAGATATTATTATTTTCCATGACTTCAGAAATCTCACTTTTAAAATCCCCTCATATATATCCAGGTTTTCCAAGACTGTTGTTCTTAATTAAAAATCACACAAAAATTAATAGAAATAAGAAACAGGCTGTCAGTTTCCTTTATCTAGATTTTTAGCTATCTTAGCTTATTTTAAATCATTTAATTGTGCTGAGGCCCCCAGTGGGTCCCGGGCCCCTTTCACAAATGTATGTAAACTATGGTAAGAGAGTTGAAATACCATTGTTATTAGAGTTATTAATGTAAAACCATAGATTTTTGCATTTTATGAGCTGAATTAGTCCATGCACGTGTTTGCTGAGGAGTTGTGGGTGACCGACCCATGAAGAGCAGATCTACAGCACAGTATCTCATCATGCACTGAATGGCGTGTGTACCTTCTCTTTGGCCCGCAGCTCGTCAAACATGTCCTGGATCTCGAGTTTCCAGTCCTCCTGGAGCGAATGGAAGGAGTCCTGCGGCATCTCGTCCTTCACCTGCTCCTCCAGAGCCGTCAGCTGCTGCAGGATGGAGGAGAAGCTGGGCCGCCGGTGTGGATCCTGATCCCAGCACTCTGACACACACACATTTATTAAAATATCACTATTAGAACTTCTGATTGGATGACATCTCATCGTCTCTGTACTCTGCACTGTGACAGTAAATTGGAATCTCATCTAATCCCATTTAATACTATCATGCTTTTTATTAATATTTTGAATTCGCTTGAATTTTATTTTATTTTTTATTTTTCTGTTTTCATTTTAAATTTGGGTCCAGTTTTAGTACTTTTGCTGTGTGTGTTTTTTTTTTTTTTTTAGGGTTAGATTGAATGTATGAATGGATGATGGACCCACCGGACATGAGCTGGGCGAAGGGCTCGGGGCAGGTGGAGGGGATCGGAAGGGTCAGCTTGTTCACGGCGACTCCGTAAGCCACGGCCAGACCATCGATCCCTCTGTAAGGAGCCTCTCCGGTCAGCAGCTCCCATAATAACACACCATAACTACAGACAGACAGACAGACAGAGAGAGAATGAGTGAGAGAGAGAGAGAGAGAGAGAGAGAGAAGGCCCACAGCCGCTTTATATAGCCATCTATTTACAGCATTCACACACACACATACAGTATACA